CCACCTGAAGAAGATGATCCTGGACCTGGGCGCTGAAAGATCGCAACCTGTCGGCCGCCTGAGAAGCCCGAGCATTAGCACGACCATCGCCACTGAAATCAAGGGGTCACCGCCCCTCGAGTGACACCACCGCCGATGCTGGTGCTGGTGCCAACCTCTTGGCCTCCAAGTGGGCTATCACATGTGAACCCTACCTGGATCGGGAGCGGCCAAGAGGTGGGTGTCCAAGAGGGGGGGGTGCAAATCATGACCGGCGGCATGTGCGCGGCCCAGCGGGGGGGCCAGGGACGTAATGAAACAAGAAGAGGCGCCATGAAATCTGGGGAAATATCATGGCCCACGCCATGATATCCACCCCCCTCTAGTCATCACCCCCCTCTATTCCGCCCCCGACTGGAGGCGGCTAGGGTGTCTGAGCTGGCTGGGCCCCAGGATTAGCAATCAAGACGGGGGGATACAAATCCGCTCAAACTCTGTCCTCGGACTACTCGCCATCGCCCGGACGTCCATTTATCGTGCATTTTCTCGAGATCATGCGTGTATTTTTCGCTAAATGGTCAAAGATGCTCCTCGATGGTCCTCGCCGAGAAAAAATGTACACGTCCGAGCGATGCCAAAACTACCGACGGAATGTTGCACCCGGATCCGTGCTTGACAGCCCCGGGGCCCGAAAGCGGCCCTTTTGGAGGCCGAACAAGGCAACCAAACGTCTCGAACCCAGAACCTCGAACTCCCCCCCTCGCCATCGCTCGGACGTCCATTTCCCGTGCATTTTTCGGTTTCGTGCGTGTTTTGTTTTGCTCGATGGTCCAGGATGGTCCTGGATGGTCCTCGCCGAGAAAAAAATGCACACGTCCGAGCGATGTCAGGCCCCCTTCCTGCTGACTGGAATCAATGCTGGGTCACCCCACCTCTCACAGATCACCCCAAGAATGCCGACAGAAAGGCCTGCACCAAAAAACAACATCCAAAACAAACTTGGTCAACATTTGAGCCGCTGGCTGCGTTGCAAGATCCACGCTGCGACCGATAAACGGAAACCTCGCGCCCGTCGCGCGAGTAAAAATGACGCACCGTGGCAGCGCGGGCGGACAAGGGGGGTGGCGCGATGAACGCCCGCGGTCTGCAAAAATTCACGGCGGCGGACCCAGAAAGGCAGACAAAATACCCCGCGAATAACCCCACCAGCCCTATGGGCGTAGATGGTTCAACTAAGACTGTGTCTTCTCTGTTAAATCCCAAAACCCCTCCTTCCCTGCTCGGGGGAAGGGTTTGTCACTGTCCCCTATTAATAACACCCCCTCCCCCACCTGGCCAGCAACCACCCCGGAATCATGCGGGCACCCCCCCCATCCCCACCCCTTCCATCCCGTCCAAAAAACAATACAGAATGCACATTGCGGGGCCCACCCTGCCAACACCCTCCACAATCCCTGTCAAAAAACAATACGAAGTGCACATTGCAACAAAATCTGGACAGTGCGCTGGCGCCCTGGTGTATAGTTTTCTGAGAGGGGTGGCGGGGCACCCTTAGTGAAGCCGCTTTGTGCAGGACCACCATCCGTGTCAAACACAATGGAAAGTGCACGTTGCGATAACGTCGTGGGTATTGTGCTGGCAACCCGCGATCGTTTTGCATTGCTTTTTTGACAGGGGCGGCGGTGGTGCCCGCAGGATGATGCTTGCTGTGCGCAGGCCCAGAACAAAGCTGACGCCCCCCCACATCAGCAAATGGACCACGCGGACGGGGGGGCATTACGCTTTTTACAAGGATGGCACCCCAACCGCATGTGGAGCCCGCGGCGAGCGTCGCGCACCTGGCGTCCGCTTTGGTTCCCAGTGGCTGTCCATCCAGTGGCGACCCTTGGCTGTGCCGAGACTCGGATGCCACTTATGTGGTGGAAGGGCGGGTGGGAGTGAGCTAGACGGCTTGCGTGCGGAGAGGGTGTCTTGACCCCTCCCCCGTCCCCCCTACCCTGGGCCTCGAAAGGAGTGGGGGGCGATGTGTTATAGAATAGCCTCCGACGCACGTCCAAGAGGCCTCAAGATGGCCCCAAGACGGTTGTCAGTGCCCGCCGAGCCCTCCGAGGACCCTCCCAAGAGGCCAACATGGCTCGGAAGCCTAGGGAGCAACAGTGTTGCTGCTTACCTGATCGCGTGCTTGCTTCCGATGGGTTTTTGAGGCCTCAGGATGGCCCTAAGACGGTCCAGGAGAGGCCCCACGAGGGGCCCGAGAGGGCCCCGAGAGCGCTCCAAGAGCGGCCCCAGAGGGCACCAGGGCGCCGCTCTTGAACCTCCGAGGGGCGGGGCCCGAGTAACTCAACACCCCCCTTATTGAGCAATGGGGCCCGAGAGGCCGCCCAGACCCCTCCGATGAGCCGCAAGAGGGCCCTCAGACCCCCAAAACGAGCCCCAAGAGGGCCCCAAGACAACCCCAAAAGGCCCCCATTTTTTGCAATGAACACTGGTGCTGATACTGCTGTCTCTCCCGCCGGGGGCCGTTCGGCACGATTCGGGTACCCACGGGACGCTCCCGCTGATGCAGAGTTGCTGCAAGCATCACGAGGATGCAAACCGCAGAGAACCGACGAATACATCCGACAATCCCGAGGACAGCAAGGGAGGAAGAGCGTTCCCCCCTCCCGTCTGACTGCTGGTCTCCACACGTCTGTGAACGTGCCACTTGGAGCGCTTGCGAGCGCTGCGCGAGACCTTTCGTCTGCTTCTGGGAGCCAGGCTATATCTGTGTCTGATCCTTCTCATACCTCTGCACGCTCATGCTATCGGGATAGCGTGCTCACCCTTTTCATCTTCTTCACGCATGGCTTCGAACCTCTGGTCTTCAGGTGACCGAGCGAGCGGGCAGCGAGCGAGAAGGGACCTGAGATTCGACGACCCTAGACCGCATCTTTCTGCGCCACAATTCGATCCAGATCGACCTGTGTAAGGGCATCAGGGCCCCAAAGAAGGCGAAAGATGACCAGCTCGAACAAACTGAGACGCCAGGATCGCAAGGGAGGGGGAATAGAGACCTCCCAGATGGGGTCCGAGTAGACGGGGTCGGAGGATCGCGCCGAATCGCCGATGCATCGGCGATGCGTCGACGATGCATCGGCGACGTCGGCAGTGCATCGGCGCGGAGAAAATCTAACTCCACATCAAGCCGCATCGCCGATGCATCGGCGATGCGGCGGAGGCGCACTGGATGTGGATGGAAACTGGCCCCTCGGGGCTCGATTGCAATCCATGGGCAAGACGCACTGGATCGGAGGTGAGGTGGTGAGATCGAAGTGGAACGGAGAGCCCGCCTACCGGGACATCGATTTCGGTTTCGTGTTCGTGCGTGCCGTGCGTGCGGGCGAGGCGAAGCTGCGTGGGCGGGCGAGAGAAAGTCTCCTGCGGCTGAGGCGCGGCCGGACCAAATGTCTCCCTTCCGGGCGGCCGGGGGCCCGCGGTGTCCCGCCGGTGTCCCGCTGGTGTCCCGTGTGGCTGAGGCGCGGCCGGACCAAATGACTCCCTTCCGGGCGGCCGGGGGCCCGCGGTGTCCCGCCGGTGTCCCGCCGGTGTCCCGTCGGTGTCCCGTCGGTGTCCCGATGATGATGTTGATGATGATTATGATGATCATTACGATGATGATGATGGTAATGATGATGATGATGGTGATGATGATGATGATGATGATGATGATGATGTTGATGATGGCGATGATGATGATGTTGATGTTGTTCATGATGATGATGATGATGATGATGATGACGACGTCGATTGTGAGATCGATTGTGATATCGATCGTGAGACCGAATGTGAGATCGGTTGTGAGATCGATAGTGAGATCGATTGTGAGATCGATAGTCAGATCGATTGTGAGATGATGATGGTGATGATGGTAATGATGATGGTGGTGATGATGATGACGACGTTGATGATGTTGATGATGATGGTGTCCCGATGACGATGATGCTGATGATGATGATGATGTTGATGATGATGTTGATGATGATGATGATGGTGTCCCGATGATGATGATGATGATGATGATGATGATGATGATGATGACGTTGATGATGATGATGCCGATGATGATGATGATGGTGTCCCGATGGTGATGATGATGATGATTATTATGTTGACGATGATGATGATGACGATGATGGTGTCCCGATGATGATGATGATGATGATGATGATGATGATGATGAGTATTATGATGATGATGACGATGTTGAGGATGATGATGAGATGATGATGATGATAAGGATGATGATGATGATGATGATGATAGTGATGATGATGATGATGATGATGATGATGATGATCATGATGATGATGGTGATGTGATGGTGTCCCGATGATGATGGTGCTGATGATGATGATGTTGATGATGATGATGGTGTCCCGATGATGATGACTATGATGGTGATGATGATGATGATGATGATGATTGATGATGGTGATGATGATGGTGTCCCGATGATGATAATGATGATGATGATGTTGATGATGACGATGTTGCTCGTCGTCGTCGTCTTGAGATCGATTGTGAGATCGACTGTGACGACAGTGAGACCGAATGTGAGACCGAATGTGAGATCGATTGTGAGATCGATAGAGAGATCGATAGCGAGATCGATAGTGATATCGATAGTGAGATCGAATGTGAGACCGATTGTGAGATCGATGGCGAGATCGATTGAGTGAGACGTTGGTTCCCCCTCCCCCCTGACCTCCTTATCACCCGCAGGGTGGTCGTATAGGTATGGATATAAAAATGAAATCTTGCCCGCATAACCTCCCCCTCATTTTTCCGGAACTTCCGCCCTAACATCCCGCTTCTTTTTCAATGTGATGTGCGTGGGCTTCCTTGAATTACGTAAACTTCTCATAAGTTTCGATGAGTTGTTCCGCACCTTCTGCGGAGGTCGGACAGCATGGAAGGTCGAATTGGAGGGCAGAAGGCAAAGGGCTCAGCGAGTCGCAGAACAGAAGGACGCGGCCGGGCGCTTGAACTCGAAGGACTTCGTCTGCACGCCGCTGTACAGCTCCTGTGCTCCGGGGCCATGGCCCCTCAGGCCCCAGGGGAGCCGCGGGGAGCAGGTCTCGACGGAGGCCCTCGCCCTGTGTCTCGGGGGCTGCCAGGGTCGGGGAACAAGCCTCTGCGGCAACTCACAGGAGGGCCTCCCATACCATCTTGTTGGCTCTTGCGAATCGACGCCCATCGACGCTCATCGACGATGCTCGACGCTGAATCGACGCTAATCGACGCTAAATCCGCCGACCCCTTGTGGGTCTCTAGGAGTGTGAGATTCTTTCCCCCCTCTAACCCCCCCTTGGGGACCCCAAACCGGCAATTTGACCCCGCCCCCCGGGCTCGGCCCGAACTCGTCATGGGAGCATAGAGGGCCCCAAAACAGTCCAAGATGGCCCAACGTGGGCCCTAAGACGATCCGAAAGGGCCCCGAATCGTCGAATGATCGTTCCAAGGCGCCCAAGATGGCATCCAGACGGCCCAAGATGCCTCCAAAACGCCCCACGACGGCCCAAGAGGCCTCCAAGAGAGGTCCTCCAGAAGGGCCCCAAAAAGCTAAAATCATGGATTCTCCCATGGTTGTTGAAGGATTTTGGGGTGTGCTCTTTTTTGGCATTCCGACGGCTCAAGACGGCCCAAGGAGGCCCCCAAGATCGCTCCAAGATCACCCACGAGGCCTCCAAGATGGCCCCAGGACGGCCCACGACGCCCCCAAGACGGCTTCAAGAGGGCCCCAAGAGGCCTCCAAGACGGCGAAGATGGCCTCCAAGACGGCTCAGATGGCCCCAAGATGCCTCCAAGACGGCCCACGATGCACCAAAAACTGCGTAGAATGGCCCCACGATGGCCCAAGACGGCCTATGAGGCTCCCAAGAGGCCTCCAAGACGGCCCAAGAGGCCTCCAAGAGGTCCTCCAGGAGGGCCCGAAGAGGTCAAAATCACTGATCGTCCTAAGGTTTTTGAAGTATTTCGGCATTTGCTCTTTTTTTGCATTCCAACGGCTCAAGAAAGAGGTGCCCAAGAGTGCTCGATCGCCCACGAGGCCTCCAAGATGGCCCCAGGACGGCCCAAGAGGCCCCCAAGACGGCCCCAAGAGGGCTCCCAGAGGCCTCCAAGACGGCGAAGATGGCCTCCAAGACGGCTCAGATGGCCCCAAGATGCCTCCAATATTGCCAAAGATGCACCAAAAACGGCGTAGAATGGCCTCACGATGGCCCAAGACGACCTATGAGGCTCCCAAGAGGCCTCCAAGACGGCCCAAGAGGCCTCCAAGAGGTCCCCCAGGAGGGCCCGAAAAGATCACAATCAATGATTTTCCAATGGTGTTTGAAGGATATCGTGGCCATGGTGGCCATCGTCGCCATGGTCGAAGCTATCTACGCTGAGCGCTACTTCACGATTGTGGACCACACAGGGAAATCCAAAGAAAGACGGCAAATGGCAGGAATTGCACAAGGATGCCCACTTTCCCCATACTTATTTATTGCAGTACAGACCGTTATGTTGCACGATGCTTTTGGGCCCATCAACTTCGAAGCCGAACCCGCCTATGTGGTGACGCGTGACATTCTATATGCAGATGACACACTACTGTTGTCGCAGAGCAAGGCAAACGTCCAGAGCATGCTGAACGCTATTGTTGGAGAAGGCTGTAAATACGGACTCGAGCTTAACTGGGACAAGACATTACACATGCAGATCTCAACCAACGTCGTCGTTGTTCGGCCTGATGGTGGTCCTATCAAAGCTGTCCGGGAAGCCGTTTACTTGGGCGGGATGGTTTCTTGTGACGGTAAGGCCACCACCGAACTCAACCGCCGATTGGGGGAAGCATATGGCATATTCAACAAGCTTGCTAAGATTTGGTCGCACACCGCTGTTGGATGGAAACGAAAGTTCAAAGTGTATGACAGTGTGGTGGTAAGTACGCTATTGTACTCGCTCGATTCCCTGTGGTTATTGAAGGCTGACAAGTCGAGGCTCGACGCGTTCCACTGCCGCTGCCTCCGCCGAATCCTGGGCATTCCGCATTCTTTCTTCTCGCGAATAAGTAATTCGAGCGTATTGGAAAAAGCGGGCGCCAAACCGCTATCTCAGCTTCTACTTGACAAACAACGCAAACTATACATCCGTGTCGCTTCCAGTGCACCTTCGTCCTTGGTACGTCAATGTTTATGTAATCTGGACGGTACCCCACGCAACTGGGTGGAACACCGGCGGCGCGGCCGGCCCAGACAGTAGTGGGCTTCCCAAGTGTACGAGATGACGCAGCACATCTGAGGCCCCACCTCCCCCGTCCTTGTCTTCCTCCCCTCGCCTTGTTTTTTCCCTTTTTCCCTCTACGTGTACCTCGGAGCAGTATGGTGTTCCATTTTCTGCTTCACAGTCGCGTTGCGCTCCGCTGCCTGCTTCACAGTCGTGGGGCGCTCAGCGTTCTCGCTCTCGGTTGCAGTTCTTCTGAAGAGTCGCCAATTGCGCGCTCTTCCGCCCACGCGTCCTACCGGATGCACGGCTTAGTGGTGGGGTGGGGTGGGGTTTGAAGGATTCTGGCGTTTTTTCTTTAATGGCATCCCGACGGCTTAAGACGGCCTAAGAGGCCCCCAAGGTCGCCCCAAGATCGCCCACGAGGCCTCCAAGATGGCCCCAGGACGGCCGAAGAGGCCCCCCAAAAGGCCTCCAGATGCACCCAAGATGGCGTAAGATGGCCTGCACATGGCTCCAAGATGACCCAAGATGGCCTCCAAGACGGCCAAGATGACCTCCAAGACGTCGACTATGGCCCCAAGATGCCTTCAAGACGGACCAAGATGCACCCAAGACGGCCCAAAATGGCCTCAAGATGGCCCCAGACGGCCCAAGAGGCTCCTAAGCGGCCTCCAAGACGGCCCAAGAGACCTCCAAGAGGGCCTCAGAGGCCTCGAAGACCCCTAGGACAGCTCCGAGACGGCCCACAACGGTCCCAAGACCGCCAAAGGAGCCCCGATGACGGCCCCAGAAGGCCCACAGACGGCGCCAAAAGGGGGCCCACAAGGAGAACCCGAACCTGCATTTCCAGCCTTCGGCCCCATCACGCCCCCAGGTTGCCTCAAAAAGCCCCCAACACACCCAAAGAAGTCCCCAGGGAGCCCGAACAGAGCCCCCAACCGCCCCCAAGAACCTCACAGGAATCGGACAAGCCTCGTGGAATGCAGTCCTGGACGCACAGTGCTTTACAAAGGGGTCGGCGGATGTGGCGTAAGCCTATAGAATGGACGCTGATCGACGCTGAACTGGCACTATCTCATAGATTACCAGACGCTGACACTTGCATGAACACAAGCTTTCGAAGCTCCGCGTGGACTTCTTGGATCGGCGCTGGGCCCCCCTGGCGGCGCCTCCGGAGCCGCCCCTGGAGCGCTCTGCGCCCCAGGGAGGGGGTCCAGCGCAGATCCAAGAAATTTCGCGGACCTCTGGAAGTGTACGTTTATGATGACTACCTGCCAGACCATCCCAAGCCAACCCGAAGACCCGAATTTCGGGTTGGGGGGGGGGACGGGTTCCGTATGTGTTTTCTCGATGTTCCCCGACCCCCCCCACTGGAAATGGAGGTCAATTTGAGGCCTTCGGGTTGGGTTGGGGTGGTTTGGTGGGTGGTGCTATGCAGCTTTGTGTTCCTCGACAGGAGCCAGGTGCGCTTTCTGCGGACCTCCACGGAAGCCAACCGCTCCACTCATGCCTCGATGTTACGTCGAACGTGCGTCGACTTGGCTCGACCTTGATTCGACCTTGAATCGAGCTGGAGCCAAAAAAAGAATCGAACAGATCCGTCAGGTGGGCCCCAAGCAGGTACCCTGTCAGAGACCAAAGGTGTCCACTGCCCTGTGCGCCACTCTTGCCAGGCGGGGACCCTCACCCTGGAGGGGCGGATCTTCGATCCCGACTGGAGGGGCCGATCTTCGATACCTCGGCTGGCGGCGGATGCTGACATATCTGCCCCCCCCGCCCCAGGGTGCGAATATAATCATTTTCTCAGCCACCATCTGCCGAGGCCCCCCCCCAAATGGACAACTATACGACCACCCTTCGGGTGAATGAGTTTGTGTGTGGGGGGGAGGAGGGGGAGAGCCAACATCTGACTCCATCGATCACACTATCGATCTCACTCAGCGGGACACCACGGGACACCACGGGACACTTGTCGATCTCACTATCGATCTCACTCAACGGGACACCACGGGACACCACGGGCCACCTCTGGACACCACGGGACACCTCTCGATCTCACTATCGATCTCACTCCACGGGGCACCATGGGACACCACGGGGCACCACATCGATCTCACTGTCGATCTCACTATCGATCTCACTCAACGGGACACCACGGGACACCTGGGGGCACCACATCGATCTCACTATCGATCTCACTCAACGGGACACCACGGGACACCTGTCGAACTCACTGTCGATCTCACTATCGATCTCACTGTCGATCTCACTTTTTGGGACACCACGGGACACCTGGGGGCACCACATCGATCTCAATATCGATCTCAATGTCGATCTCACTATCGATCTCACTCAACAGGACACCACGGGACACCACGGGGCACCTGTCGATATCAGTATCGATCTGACTATCGATCTCATTTTTTGGGACACCACAGGACACCTCGGGGCACCACATCAATCTCAGTATCGATCTCAGTATCGATCTCAGTATCGATCTCACTCAACGGGACACCACGGGACACCACGGGACACCGCGGGACACCGCGAGCCACCGCCGGACGGGCGGGAGAGCGGGGGAGAATCATTTGTCTTGACTTCGCCCTAGCAGCGGCGGACACCACGGGACATCGCGGGACACCGCGAGCCACCGCCGGACGGGCGGGCGGGCGGGAGAGAACTATTTGTCTTGACTTCGCACTAGCAACGGCGGACACCAAGGGACACCACGGGACGCCACGGGACACCACGGGACACGACGGGACACCGCGGGACACCGCGAGCCACCGCCAGACGGGCGGGAGGGCGGGG